GGTCAAGTCTCCTGATCCTGAGGTGAGAGAGGGGGAGAGGAAAAGCGAGGAGGGGGGAGGGATAAAGAGAAGGGGGGAGAGAAGGGGGGGAGGAGGGAGAGAAAGAAAAGGGAGGAGAGAGAGATAAGGAGGAGGGTGAGGAGAGAGAGAGAGAGAGGAGAAGAAGGGGAGGGCACTGCTTTACCCAACCCTTATTTGTTAATCCCTTCCCCCACCTATCGACGCCACCCCCCCAACAAAAAACAAACAAAACAAAAAAACCCCCACCTTCCTTCCTCCCTAACCCATCTTCCGTTTCACAGATCACACTTGGACGCCCGCGTGACCTATTTAGCCGTGAGTATCTGCGCTCGACTCTCCAGGTGTGGCTGCTGTGGTTTGGTGTGGCCTTCACCTACTACGGCATGGTGCTAGCCAGTGCTGAAGTGCTCAGGGTCCGGAATAAAGACAGTGAGTAATTGAAAACATGTTTTACGGCTCCATTGATACAGATTAGGGGGAAGGACTTCCGTATCGAGCGACCACCCCAACAAACACAACAAAGAAGGGACCTAACCCAAACCCTAACCCTACCCCAAACTTAAACATCTACCCTAACCCTACCCCAAAACCTAAACCTCGACCCTACCCCTACCCCTACCCCTACCTCTACCTCAAACCCTGCCCATATGTCTACACCTATCCCATCCCCCTCTGTTCTGCTCTGTCTCATAGTGGTCTGTCGTTACGGAAGTCCTCCCGATTTGGGCATTCAGGAGGCGGGCTACAGTGATTTGGCGTGGCCAGTGCTGAGGTTTTCAGGGCCTAGAATAAAGACAGTGACAGTGAGTAATGGAACACGTGTTTTACGGCTCCATTGATACAGATTAGGGCTTTTAGAAGGCGGACTACGGCATGGTGCTAGCCAGTGCTGAGGTGCTCAGGGTCCGGAATAAAGACAGTGAGTAATTGGTCGCTTCTAAGGACAAGCGGGCTAACCCAGATTTTGGGGGTTATCATCAAATAAAGAGTATATCTGGACCATATGCAGTTGCTAGCATTTCTGTATATTTATCTCAGGGATTTTTGATATAGCGTGCTCTATTTTTTTCTACGTTTGAGAAAAAAGAGACGAAAATCCATTATCTGTTTTTAAAAAAATTAAAAAATCACACGGCATTCGAATGGCCCTGCCATGCTTCGAATAGCTGTGAATAGTGCAAAAATCATGAATGTCGAATAGTAAAGTCGATTGGGCACAGTTCTAGTGAGTAGTTGTAGAAGAAGAAGAAGAAGAAGAAGAAGAAGAAGAAGAAGAAGAAGAAGAAGAAGAAGAAGAAGAAGAAGAAGAAGAAGAAGAAGAAGAAGAATCCCCGAGGTGGGATTAAACGAGGAAGAAAGCGGACACATTTTTTTTAAAAATTGACGAACCGTCAAATTCCCATCACCCCGTCCCGTTCAGTCATAAGGGATGAGGCGAGTTC